CCTGAATTTTTTTTTTTTTTTGAGACAGAGTCTCACTTTGTTGCCCAGGCTCACAGCAACCTCAATCTCCTGGGCTCAAGCGATCCTCCTGCCTCAGCCTCCTAAGTAGCTGGGATTACAGGCATGCGCCACCATGCCTGGCTAATTTTTTCTATATATATTAATTGGGCAATTAATTTCTTTCTATTTATAGTAGAGACGGGTCTCGCTCTTGCTCTGGCTGGTTTCAAACTCCTAACCCAGAGCAATCCACCCTCCTCTGCCTCCCAGAGAGCTAGGATTACAGGCGTGAGCCACCCCGCCTGGCCAGGAAGTGATATTTCAGCTAAAGACTTTGTTTTTCTTTGTGTTCCCCAAGGAGTAATCTCAGAAAGAAGGATTTGAATGTTTGTTTGGGGAATGGTCTCAGGAAACATGAACTAGGCTGACACCAGGGCACTCACTCTAGTCGGAGCAACAAAGCGAGACTCTGTTTCAAGAAAAAAAAACAGTTGCCAGTCTCGGGCTGGTTCCTCATGACTCCGCATCCCACATGGAATCGTAATGGTGGCAACCGGAGTTCTCAGGGATGACAGTCGCCATGGGTGTTAACCGTAGTTGGGAGCAATTCCACCTTCATCTAGAAGGGATGAACGTTAGACTCCAGAAAGCCAATGTTGCTTTCCTTAATCACCAAAATCTTCCCAACAGGTTGGAATTAAAGATGCCAAGCTGTAGTTACAATACGCACTGGAAAATTGCCTGTGCTATAAATGACACTCTACATGAAATAAAGATTAATTCGTTGAACTCCAACAGCAATGCTGGGAAGCAGTGCCGTGGTTTTCTTCATTTTTATAAATTGAGGAAGTTGAGGTTCAGAATAATAGAATAACTCACCAAAATTTTTGCAGCTAATAAGTAATTAGAACTGGGGAGACCAGGCATGGTGGCTCATGCCTGTAATCCTAGCACTCTGGGAGGTTGAGGCGGGAGGATCGCTTGAGGTCAGAAGTTCAAGACCAGCCTGAATCAGAGTGAGACCCCATTTCTGCTAAAAATAGGAAAAATTAGTCCGGGCCCGGTGGCTCACGCCTGTCATTCTAGCACTCTGGGAGGCCGAGGTGGGAGGACCACTCAAGGTCAGGAGTTAGAAACCAGCCAGAGCAAGAGTGAGACCCTGTCTCTACTAAAAATAGAAAAAAATTAATTGGTCAACTAAAACTATATAGAAAAAATCTTCCAGGCGCGGTGGCTCACGCCTGTAATCCTAGCACTCTGGGAGGCCGAGGCAGGCAGATTGCTCGAGTTCAGGAGTTCGAAACCAGCCTGAGCAAGAGTGAGACCCCGTTTCTACTAAAAATAAAAGGAAATTAATTGGACAACTAAAAATATATAGAAAAAATTAGTCGGGCATGGTGGCACATGCCTGTAGTCCCAGCTACTTGGGAGGCTGAGGCAGGAGGATCGCTTGAGCCGAGGAGTTTGAGGTTGCTGTGAGCTAGGCTGACGCCATGGCACTCTAGCCCAGGCAAAAAGTGAGACTCTGTCTCAGAAAAAAAAGTACCACAGACTGAGTGACTTCAGAAATACAAATTTATTTTCTCACACTTCTGAGGGCTAGAAGTCCAAGATCAAGGCACTGACAGGGTTTGGTTTCTTCCAAAGCCTCTGTCCTTGGCTGGCAGATGGACACCTTCTCCCTGGCTGTTCACACGGCCGTCCCTCCATGCACGTCTGCATTCAGATGTCCTCGTTGTATAAGTCATATTGAATTAGGGCTCATCCCACGGACCTCATTTTACCTTAATTACCCCATTAAAGACCCTATCTTGGCCGAGCGCGGTGGCTCACACCTGTAATCCTAGCACTCTGGGAGGCCGAGGTGGGTGGATTGCTCGAGGTCAGGAGTTCAAAACCAGCCTGAGAAATTTT